TCTATTGTATTGTTTCAACCTTTCCAAGTGTTCTAAATACTCACCTTCATGAAAAGCATTGGCTATACTCCGAAAAAGGTTCTTGTACTCACCATCATTGTAAACCTTTTTCCAGTTGGCATATATATGCCTCGAACACATGCGATGTTCTGCTTCAAGTAGAATATGATAAATGACATTGATTATACCCTGCTCCAAAACAAAAGAACATGATTTGTTAACCCGGAAAATTTTTGCTCACCTATAATATTAACCAACATAATATGGTGTGTACCTTTTGCTTATCCGAAAGTATTGTCAAGTTGGCTCTATCTCCTAACGTTAAATCAACTCTCAGTTTCGTAATAAACCAAGGTCCAAGACCATGTCTCAGTTGTCTCGCCCCGTACCACAGTCCACGCGATTGGATAAATATGATTATTCGCATCTCTGCCTACAACAACTAGCAACTCACCTTTCATTTTCTACTTCAAGAAGTACCTATCAAAACCGATCACTGGCCGACAATACCTTTTCCAACTCTCACGCAGCACATCAAAACAGATATAGAATCTATCAAAGAGTTGTTCGTTACCTATTCTTGCAGCCACGGTTTGGATCTTCGTCGAAGAATTGGGATTAGAACATTGAATTTCTGCCTCGTAATCCCATAACTTTCCAAATTGGACTTGTTGCTCCTCTTTCACTATTTTCATGGCCATTTGTTGAGCCTTAAAACATTTAAACTTAGTAACTGTAATATTGAAACGCCTTCTACACTCATGTTGCATATCTTTTGTCGTAAAAGCTTTCTTCGTCCGTAAATCATCAGCAAAGATTTTCGCCATTTGCTTTATTGTAAACAACCTTGCATGTCCCGTTTGGGTTATGGTTGTGGGTGGGTGAATATGCCTTTATCATCCACTTGTTCCATGGTTTCTCAATGGAACAATATAATCTCCATGAACAACCCTCATGACTGCACACAGATTCAAACCTCCAAACCTCAGATTTTGCCATTTTAATATTGTAACCTTCAGTCTTCACATACTCAAATAACCTATCCTTGAATTCTTCTCTTGTATTAAATGTCTGCCCGAGATAAAGCAGAATGGGTTTGGATTTTTCAGGTTTTGTTCATGTTGTTGGCGATGTCTTTGATCTTGGTTGTGGGTTTCTTTTCTCAAAGATTCCCACTCTTCATCTGTGCTCAGGGGTGTATTTGGTAACACATCATCATCACACGTATTCTCCTGATCACTGAAAGTCCAACCCTAATTTTTCATGTCTTCATTTCTGGATACAAGGTTCTTCATCAACTTCTTCACCATCTTCTTCTTCATCTGCACCAACATCAACATTCTCAACTTCACCAACACCATCATTCACATCTACAACATCATCATTCTCATCTCCACCATCCTCACCACTTTCAACAACAGTATCACTATCAACATCATCATTCTTATCACGAATAACATTCTTAGCAGTATCAATAACAACATTCTCATCTTCAACTACCTTATCACCAACTGTCTCTTGATCTCTCTCTTCATCTGACGGACCTTCCAGCGATATTGGAAAAATATGCTCGTCGATAACATGGTCCACATATATATCTATTGCTCCCTCTTCTCTAGCTTCTCAGACCATCCTTCTTATTTCCATATCGCAATCTTGCCTAATAAGTCTAATATCATCAAATGGTTCACTACGTAACTTGTACCAAAACCCATATATCGGTCCCCACATATCCTGTGATCGAACCACATCAATGTAAACCAAGACATAAAGTCCGGGTCCATCGGCATGTCCTTCAACACGATACCACCCATGTACTGCATAATACAATCCTTATCGTAGTCTTTGTTCCCACCCATATAAAAATTTACCTTAATCATGTTGATTCCTTCGAACTACAGTCTACAAAGGATCTTTCGAGGCAACAGAGGAGCTTTCGAAAGGAACGAACTCCACTGCAGCACGAACAGAACTTTTTCCACCACCCGATCACGAACACAACATTCGAGAGGAGATTTTGAAGGAGATCGCTCTGATTAGGGTTTAGGAAAGAGATGAAATTAGGGATTTTTAGGGTAGGTGAAATTTGGGTTTCGATTTTTCTCTCCTTTATTTACCTTTTTTTCTCATACCGGTTTATTAAATTAGAAAACCGGATTTTTTTACTCACAAACCGGATAAAATTGGACCAAAATATGCTGATGTGACAAAAGCCATTTAAAATTGCTTACGTGGACACGATGATGCCAACTTCTCGGTCCTAGGTGGATTTTCAATGGCCTGAATTTTTGGTCAAACCGGCCAACGGGTTATTTAGAGTAACAATTTATAAGCTCGAGGTTTTATTTAGTTATATATATCAAGTTTGGGATTTAAATGACAGTTTTTTAAGGTGAAAATTTATTTGTATATTTTTTTGCAATCCTTTAAAAAATATCCGCTCAAGTCCACTGTATAATTATACAATCTGTCTTTGACTCGGTCAACGCTCTTTTCACGGCTCATATATATATATATATATATATATATATGTGTGTGTGCTCTTCTGTCTTTGAATTTAACACGAAATGGAAAGTGTTAACTGTAAAATTATCTTAAAACATATGATACTAATTAACGGCCACTACCAAACTATTTATAGAAAGTTAATCATATGCTATTTACTAAAACACCAATTAAGTTGTAAGAAATTAATTGTGGTATCTGCATAATAAAATCTAAACTTATTTTATGGACCCATATTATATGCGCATTTGACTTGAATTAAAAATTGAATCGTATCAATTTTAATATCCAAACATTATCATGTGGGGACTGCATGGTGATCGCAACGTACGGACCATGAGACATTACCAAAATGTAATGAAGAATGGCATGGCTATATATAGTTCTCTCCTTTGGTACATATACATTGCTTTCTACATGTGACCCGCCTCGATTTCATAGATATATTTCGATATTTTACTATTCATTTTATCTTCTAGTTTCATAAACAATGGAATTCGGGATACTTTTCATAGATGATTAACCTAATTGAGTACATATGATCAGCCGATGAAGCTGATATGTTTCCTTCTGCAAGCTTGCCTGTTGCTTAATATTGTGCAAAGTATCATGGGGAAGCCCTTCACAAAATCTTCAAACCCTATAGTGAACATAACCAAAAAAAAAAGATTCTGATTTTGGTTGCCAATCATAGTCTCCATACCGTTAATTATTCGAGCTATTTCAACTTCTGAATTATATATCGAATATAACATTATATAGTTGGAGCCACTGCCATTCAAGCAATCAAGAAAATGTTGGTTTCATGATTATGAGGTTGAAGAGTTTTGAGGGGGGAAAAAAGGCTTCATGAACAGAAGCAGCTGCTTATTAAATAAAAATATTATTTTTTTATTGGAGATACCAATTAAATTATCATAAGAAAAGAATACATAATTTTTTTTAAAAATATCTGTTTGGTTTGAAAAAAAATCACTACTAACATGGTATTTTAAAATAGGATTTGTATCTTGTACGATCATATGGTCTCAAGTATGGGGATTAGGTAAAGGAAAGTGATATTATTATTATTATTATTATCATCATCATTATTATTATTATTATTAAAATTGGTGGTAGGTGAAAAGCTAGCCATTTCCATTTCTCATACAACAACTCCTTTTTGTGGCTTTGATTCAAAAAGGTCAACAGCATCAACAACAACAATGTGGGCCCATTCCTTCAACCAAAGCCCACTCTCACCAACCCACTCCCCCTCCACCAAACCCATTCCTCCTATTTCCCATTCCTCCCCCCTTATTTTTCATTCTTTCCACTTTTTGCCCTTATCTTTTATTTCTATCTCTAAAATGTGAAATTCGTAATCAGAAGATTCTTTTTTTCCCTTTACAAGGCTTATCCAAAATCTCTATCATTCGTCACTACTCTTAAGGAGAGCGAACGTTTCGGTTCAATCGATTCGGTTGCGGTTAATCCGTACTTTATTATTTCGGGTTTCGAAAATTTATAATCAAATAGTTATTTAATTTTAATCGGTTTCTTTCAGTTATAATTGTCTGGTTATATCTAATTAAAACCAGTAACCAAATAAAAATTCGATTCGATTCGTTTTTCGCTTCTATTATAATAGTAAATAAAACAAATTTTGAAACATTTTAAGAAATTTTTTAAAGATTTCACTTTAATTATATATCACAATCATAAAACAAATAGTTATATTTGGTTATTGTTAATTGGATTTATTTTATTCGGTCAACGGTTAATTCGAGTTTAATTAATTCAGATTTTAAAATTTTATAATCAAATAATTATTTAATTTTAATTGTTTCACTTTAATTTAGATTTAAACCAGTCGAATTCGATTCGGTTTCAAATAGCCGAACCGTTTGTCGATGTCTAATTACTCCATATTTTACCGTTTTTGTTAGGAGTTGTTCTTTTATAATTTGAAAAAAAAGTTTATATAATTTTGAAAAGAATGAATATATTTATTTATAGATTTGTTTTGTTATTGTAATGGTAATTTTAATTTCGGAAATGGAAATGTCATTCAATTACGCACATATATATCCATGTGACTTTGTGGATTTTTATTGTCCATACATATTATTTAAATATCCTCCACATTTTTCTAAAGTTTTACTTCTGCGCCCCTCCGTACAAAATCGTCGGGAATAAATCCTTAAATTAATATTGTGACGTGACACGTGTTATGTTTTTTCGTTCTTTGGGTAATTCGGAAAATATAAAAAAAAACGACATTTCGTCGAATAAATAATATAAAAAGTAAAATAAAATTGACCTCGAGGATCAAATCCAAGCGTCCAAATAAAAATTACGCAGCTCACCGAATGCACCACGAAATTGATAAACAAATGACACAAAAAGACACAAATCTCCTAAAATCCTTGAAATTACCGTTATACCCTCTCACCAACCCCCCTGGTGCGTACCCAAACTCCGACGAACTCTATATGAGCTCCTCCGAGAAAGCTCCTTCTCTTCTCAGGGCCTCTCGAATCCAAATTTCTTGATTCCCAGTTCGAGAAATCACTTCGAAAGAGGCCCAAACCGTAGGAATTCGATATTCGAATCTCGAAAACCCCGAAAAAACCTCCTCCAATGGCGCCGCAGGAAGCTATCAGTGACCGGAAAACGAATGATGACGTCATTTTCCGGTCAAAGTTGCCGGACATATATATTCCCAACCACCTGCCCCTCCACGAATACGTCTTCGAGAACATCTCCACCGTCGCAGAGAAGCCGTGCCTCATCGACGGCCCCACCGGCGAAATCTACACCTACGCCGACGTCCACGTCATCTCCCGCCGCGTCGCCGCCGGGCTACACAAGCTCGGGGTCGAAAAAGGTGACGTCATCATGCTCCTCCTCCCGAACTCGCAGGAGTTCGTCCTCTCCTTCCTCGGCGCCTCCTTCCGCGGCGCCGTCGCCACCGCCGCGAACCCATTCTTCACCGCGGCGGAGATCGCCAAGCAGGCGAAAGCCTCCGCCGCGAAGCTCATCATAACACAAATCTGTCACGCGGACAAGGTCATGGAACTGAAGAGCGACAACCTCTCCATCATGTTCACTGACAAGGAAACCGACAACAACCCACTTCCCGAGGGATGCCACCGATTCGCCGAGCTGGCCCACGCCGACGAATCCGAGCTTCCACGGCCGGAAATATCGCCGGAAGATGTGGTGGCGCTCCCGTACTCGTCGGGAACGACGGGTCTTCCAAAAGGGGTGATGCTAACGCACAAAGGACTGGTAACAAGCGTTGCCCAGCAAGTGGACGGAGAGAATCCGAATCTGTATTTCCATAACAAAGATGTGATTCTCTGCGTATTGCCGATGTTCCATATCTACGCATTGAATTCGATAATGCTCTGCGGGTTGAGGGCAGGAGCAGGGATTCTGATAATGCCCAAGTTCGAGATCCATCTGCTGCTGGAACTGATACAGAGATATAAAGTGACGGTGGCACCGATAGGGCCGCCGATCGTGTTGGCGATAGCGAAGTCGCCGGAGACGGAGAAGTACGATCTGAGATCGGTGAGGGTGGTGAAATCTGGTGCCGCCCCCTTGGGGAAGGAGCTTGAAGAAGCTGTCAGTGTTAAGTTTCCTAACGCCAAGCTTGGACAGGTACGTCTTTTCTTCTTCTTCTTCTTCTGTTTTTCTTTTGAAAAATTTAAGATTAAAAAAAACCCACAGTCAAAAAAACCCAATTTATAAAATAATTAATCTAAGGGATGGAGAAGAACGATTGGTTGATTTATTTTTATTTTTTGTTTATCTTGATTACACGTATAAAAATTTATCTTTTTTTAAGAAACAATGTTTTTTTTCTCAGCGATAAAAAAATTAAGATTTTTTTAAAATATTTTTGTAATATGTGTGAATCATTTGGTTGTTATATGTATATGCGTATATGTTATGCCTTTTGTTTCAGAAAAAAAAACCCATTTAAAGCATAATAAATGTAAGATATGGAGGAAATAATGATTGGTTGCTTTTTATTCTAGTTTTTATACATAAATTTTATTTTTTAGGAAAAAAATGTTTTCAACGTTTAAAGAAAAACTAAAATCTCTTAAATATTTTATGTGGTATACATCGTTTGACCATTTTTTGTGGTATATGGTAATGTATGCAAACACGAAGCCAGAGAAAAAAAGGATACATTAACGTAAATACAAAAGGGGGAAAGAATATATTTTATGCATCGTATATGAGACATCAACGCGGAAAACGTCCGACCAAAAAAAAATCTTTAGTCCATCATTAAAGACCAACAAAAAAAATGTCTTTGGATGGAAAGGAAGAGAAGAGGTTAGACAAAGTGTCTTTATCCATAAATATTAATTCGCATATTTAATTGAGTGATTCTTTTTTTTTTCCTCCGGTGGTTGAATGAATTTTTGTCATTAAAAGAAAAATTATCTAAATATTTACAACATACTAACTAAAATTAGATTATTATAATTTTATTTAATTAAATTAAGTAGCAAAGGTTAGATGGATGTTAGGTGTGACCGGTGACATTTACCGATTTATAAAGGGATAAAACGTTACACTAATTAAACTAAGTAGTAACTTACAATTATGTTTGATTTTGGTATTAACTTTTTTGTTGTTGTTGCATTGAACCAACACTAATCAATTCTCATTAAATGTATGATTTTATTTTGTTGTTGTTTTCTTCGTATTTTCGAAAAAAATTATTAAAAAAATCCTAACTTGTCTAAAATGACAATTAATAGATACAAACTTGAACAAACATAACATTTTAAGAAATAATTTTCAGAGTAATGTAGGTTTTGTAGCTTTGGAACCCAAAAACATAATAGTTTCTATTTTCCGTATCAAGAGATTTAAATTTAATTATTTCTTCACAGGCGTTGGATTTTTATTCGGTCATTTTTTCTCTCTCTCTAAATTAAGATAATGTGATCAATAATCCAATAATAACAGGAAAAAAATAATTGTCAAGATTATGATATAATAGTTTAAGCACAACAACTTTTCGCTATACAATTAAGATTATAATTTTTTGAATTCAGATTAATAAATAATTAATCGGCCAAAGTGAGAAAAAACTAATATTGTTTTTGTTAACTGTTATCGGTACGGACAAAAAAAAACCAGGGCTATGGGATGACGGAGGCAGGCCCCGTCCTGGCGATGTCGCTAGGGTTCGCAAAGGAACCATTCCCAGTGAAATCAGGAGCTTGCGGCACCGTCGTGAGGAACGCCGAGATGAAGATCGTGGATCCCGACACCGGAGATTCTCTCCCGAGGAACAAATCCGGCGAGATCTGCATCCGCGGCCACCAGATCATGAAAGGTTACCTAAACGACGCGGCGGCGACCGCCGCAACGATCGACGCTGACGGTTGGCTCCACACCGGAGACGTCGGATTCATTGACGACGACGACGAGCTCTACATCGTCGATCGATTGAAGGAGCTCATCAAGTACAAGGGATTTCAGGTCGCTCCGGCTGAGCTCGAGGCCATGCTCATCGCTCATCCCGATATCACCGATGTCGCCGTCGTCGCGTACGTATCTGAATCTCTCTACTCGAAACCCTAGCTCGAACGTTCTCTCGTGTTTTCAAAATTTGTGTTGATTTCAGAAGATTTTGGGTAAAAAAAATTTGCAGAATGAAAGACGAGGCGGCGGGTGAGGTTCCTGTTGCGTTCGTGGTGAGGGCGAAAGATTCAGAGATAACAGAAGATGAGATCAAGAAATATGTTTCGAAACAGGTAACAACGGAAACTCTATTGGAATCAAATGCTCTGTTTCATGTTTCGTCATCATCACCATCGCCATCATCATCCATCAGGTTATATTCTACAAGAGGATCAACAAAGTGTTCTTCGTGGATTCGATCCCGAAAGCTCCATCTGGGAAAATACTGAGGAAGGAACTCAGGGCAAGGCTAGCAAATGGATTGGTGAATTAAAGAAGAAAATGTATATATATCATGTAATGAAAAAGGGAAACAAAAAGACTCGCATAATATTTGATTTCTGATGGTTTTGTTGTAATATCGTATAATGTTCTGACCGGATTTCGAATAGATTGCTGCTATTGCGAAAGACCCTCGTATCTTTTAACTTCGGATCCAAAAATCTTCAAATATAATCAAAATTCTCAAATGTTTTATTATTCAATAGGTTCTTCTTATATAGTTTCAAAATTCTCTTGATGCCACCGCTGGCTTTCGATTATTTTCAATTTAATAATATTATATATATATATATATATATGTGTGTGTGTGTGTTTTCTTAGCATAATTGATTAACTTCACAAACAAGACGAACTAAATAAATATATACAAAAAATGAGTGGGTTTAGTCTTTGTCTTCTTAATCAAACAAATTTTCCTGTAAATTTTAAATGTATGTAATCTAGGATTTGGTGACAAATTCATCTATTTATATTTTATTTTTTTGCTATATATATAATATATATAAAGAAAACATTTAGTGGACCAAAGTAAATATTTTGTTTCTACGAAATATCCACTTGTGTAATTATGGCCAGCGATGAATGTTAAAATCATTGTGAGAATGAAATCACAACGTTCAATCGCTAAACAATAAAATTTTAGTTATTTAGTCATGAAAAAATTGATAAAAAGTCTTATGTTGATGTCTAAAAATTAGAGTATCAATTTAGATCCGAAATTCGAATTCCGGCGTGGCCTAACCCAAAAAATAACGGACTTCGTATCTAAGTTTTTTGACAAAAAAAATATCGGATTTTTGGATTGGACTTAAATCGGATTTTGAATCGGATGCGTGCCTTCCCGAAAATCTGAATTTTTTTTAAAAAAATCTTAATAAAAAAAGAAAAAAATAATTTTACAATTCAATTTAAATGAGTGATCTGACCCGACCTAGCTCTATCGGAGCTCAAAATATATAGGATTGTACTTCGAATTTAATTTTATAGACTCGGAAAAAATTGAATCAGTCTCAACACGAATCTAAAACCCTCGGAATGAACGGGGACTCGTGCCGGTTCGATTGACATTCCTACTAAAAATTAGACTTACACCAACCAATGTTCAAAAAATAAAAATGGCACACTATTTTTTCATAGGTATAGTTTTCATAAGACAATCGATTTCATTAGCAATTGGCACAAATCACTTTCCAACAATGTTAAAGACAAATCTTTTGTGTAACCGAACAAGGAAAGTAAAAATTTTGAGGTAAGAAAAAAAAGGAAAAAAAAAGGCAAGGGACGAAAAAACCCTATGATGATGCCGGAGGTGACGACGGAGACAAAAAGGGATGCTGCAACAGCTGCTGCGCCGTCCACCTCTTCGCCGGATCTCTCTGCAAGCAGCACGAGATAAAGTGTTGGAACTCCGGCGTCGCCTCCGACGGAGCTTCCGGCGGGCGAGACATGCAAATGGCGGACATGAGAGTTCCCCAGCTTCCTTGTCGGCTCACAACAAAAGGGAATCTCCCCAAATAGAACTCAAGTATACTCAGACCAAAGCTCCATATGTCTCCGGCGAATCCATCGTACGGCCCTCGATTCAGATCGGTGTTAATCCTCTCCGGGCTCATGTACCCGATGGCTCCGACAGGTGAGTTACACGGATCCATGGTCTGGGCAGGGATCCAGACCACTATAAAGTCAGAGATCTTCACGATTTCGGCTGAGTTAATGAGGAGATTCGACGGCTTGATGTCGCGGTGGACAATTTGGCGGCCATGAAGGTAGGCCAAGCCGCTTAGAATTTGCCTTGAAAGGTCTGCAAGCTTCTGCTCCTGCAAAACATGGATTCCTTTCAAAGACCCTTTGTCCATGAATTCAAGCAGAACCTGGATTTCACCGTCGTGTCGGAACATGTCATGGCATTTCACCAGATTTGGGTGGTTCAAGCCATGGAGGATCTCGATCTTCTGACGGATCTGGCGAAGAACCATTTCCTCTCGATTCTCGTGGATCACCTTGATCGCGTATGGCTTCGATGTCGGCCTGTGGATCACTTTGTATACCGTCCCGCCAAAACCACTGCCCATCCAGCTCACACGCTCCAGCTCCGACAATCTCCTCACGGCGGGTTTTCCGGAAAACGACGTAGAGTCGCCGGAAAATGGTGCAGAGTCACCGGATGGAACGGCGGGGGAAACGTGGCGGTGAGGAAGGGGCAAGGTAAGGTCCGGTCGCTTCCGGGGACGGTTCTGACCAGGCTCGGCGGCTCCGGCGGCAGGCGATTGAATCGGTTGCATGGCTGAGGAGAGAGATGGAATCTGAGCTCTAACGGTCGTCGATTCAAAGTCTTTAAATACCTGAAAATTAATTCCTCGAGTGGATTGGTCAAAAGTTTTTAATTCGTAAGCATATTAATCCTCGTATGTTTTGTTCTTTCAAACAATTTCCATAATAGTTCCGTTGGTCAATGTTCTCCCAATAACATTAGTGATACGTCCCAATATGGAAATCTAAATTAATAGGAAACATACTAATATATATATATATATAAGAAAAAAAATTAAAGTCCCATTGTGTCTTTATTTTCTTTTTCTGAATAGATTAGTTACCAAAAACTATATTGTCTAATTTTGGTCAGCGTTGCTTCGTCAAAACGGCGGCGTTTTAGACGAAGGGGGTTCCGTGAGCTCCAAGAAACTGACGCAATCATACCGAATCTGACTAGTTTAAGCCGAATCAAATGAACAATCGTATGGAATCCGATATAAGTTATGATTTTTTTTAAAATTCAAAAAAATAAAATTTAAATCGAATAGAATAAAATAAATAATTTTAAAGTTCATTTTTTAATGATGAATATTTTTACCAATAAAAACTTAAGTGATATTAAAACCGAATGTCTATAGTTTTTTTAAATAACTGAACTCGGATATAACCAAATGGAACTTGATATAAATATCCAAAGTAACATTGTTCAAGTTGAATTAGAACAAAAACGGAAGAAATCATCGAGCTGATTTGATCGATTATAAGGTTGCGTATGAAGAAGTTACAAGTTGTTCCAAATATCATATTCTTAAATGTTTAGGTCTAGGAACATTTGGATCGGGTATTATGGATGAAGTCTTGGAGTATCAAGACAACGATAATCAAGAACTCTCGGAGCAGCACCTTGACAAAGACGGACATGTTTGGTGTAGAAATATATAGAATGATCTCTTTTATTAATAATAAAAATAAGTTCTAATATATAAATAGATAAAAGTTTTACACTGAATAAGTAAACCAAATATAATATATATATATATATATATATTTCAGATTTGATAAGATCTCTATTATACGATATATCTCGTAATATTCTTCAAGATCCGGTATATCTCAATATCCCTTTTAAATTAGAGTGTGAAGATTACAGAATGCCAAACTTGTAGAAAAGATGATCAAATACATGTTGTTTGAACCATATGACCTTGCGAAAGTCAACAGAAGACATAACTAAAAAAATCAAATGAATGATTGCATTGCGAATTTGACAACACATACAAAAGAATCGTTCGATGATAACATAAAAGGACAAAAATTGCGATGCGAAAAAGGAATCTCGTGAATAACTCTGATTCATCTGAGATTGGAAGGCAACTACGCGAAGCGTTTAGTGACAACAAATTTTTGCAAGAGTAAGATGATTGATGGTTATATGAATAATCTTTTGAAATATGTGGAATTAAGCGAGAAAATAAAAAAACAAAATGACTCTCTTATTCTTAATAAAAAAAACTCGAAATAATATTACCACTGGATTGATATATCATCGCCATCTTCATCTTCACTCTCGTTATCAACCACCATTTTTTTTATAAAAATACCAACAAAGTAGAAAAATACCAGAAATTCTGATACCATGTAGAAATTTACGGAATAATTTCTTTTATTGATAATTAAAATAACATATAAATAGATAACAGTCTTACACTGAATAAATAAACTAAATATAATAACACATATTTCTAAATATATATATTTTGGATTTGATAAGATCTCCATTATATGATATATCTCGTAATATTTTTCAAGATCTGATATATCTCAATATTTGGAAAGTTTGAAATAGTACGGACAGACGCGAAGCCTCGAACAGAAACATGAAAACTCGAGAATCAAGTGTTTGAAAATCAACAACACTTGCCTTTTACTTCAGAAAGTTCTAGAAGCAATATGCTTTAGGAAAAAAAAAATGTCAAGATCATCCTCTTCTCAATCAAGACCAATCTCGTCAATTCGGTCAACAAACTATCCATTTATATACTTGTAAATATTGCAGAATTTGTTGGTTTAGTGCTCTATGATGTACTGATTATGAGCTTTGTTCAGTTACATTCGATGTATAGATACTTTCTATGTGTTTTTATGAGAGTATTTTATTCATTACATGTTCTTGCATGCTAGATATGTTATGAAATCCATGTATCATTATGAATGATACTAAACTCCCTAGTCTTATGTCGTTATGGGAATAACGACATAATAAGACTAGTATGATGTGTGATTGATGATCACATAGATGATCATAGGTATTGGATACGATCACGATCATAGGTATTCGTTGGAGAACGGAATACTGGAATGACCCGCATGAGATTGTCACATGGACTAGAGTCATGACTAGAATCTCATATGACGGTTCCATGATTGGATCCTAAGACCTGAGATATCTACGGAATCCAACATGACGAGTTGCGTGCTTTGAATACGTCTAACGTCCTGCGTAACAGGAGGATTATAAAGGCGTGTATCAGGCACGAAACGAATCATGTACTGGATTGTAGATAGTCAAGACGGAATTTGTACCTCTCGTAAAAGAGAGAGATATCGCTGGGCCCCTCGTGTGAGCGAGACTGTAGAAATGTGTGGCCGCACTATAGACGAACGTCGTCTATTTCAGACAGTCAAAACTCAGTTAACGAGAAAGCAGTCGAATCAGATAAGGTGGCTTGTCCATGCCTTATGTTCGACATATGATATCGCGATACAAAAGGATCATCAGCCGGAATCATCACTGGCGTTCGTATGATCACGAACAAACTCTATTCGAGATAGGTAGTCATAGTGTCTTGCTAGAGACCGCCTATGACTTGTATACCCGAAATAGGGATTTCAGGTTATACTGCTATGTCGAATGAGCCTACAGGGTCACACACGCAGGGAAGGACAAATGCACGAGAGAAAACGACGAAAAACCGAGACGGAAGCTTGCTGGAACGGACGGTCCACGTGCATTTCTGGACCGTCCGTTCTGGGCTCTGGGTATTTTCGTAATTAAACCAAAATTAGGGTTAAATCACTTTATAAAAAAGAGATTAGAACCCTAATTAGGGGGAGACTTCGAGCAGCCGACTTTTGGCAGAAAAGAAAGAGTTTTTGGAGATCCAAAAACGAGTTCTAAGTCTCGAGATTTCTCGGTGCACATATCGAATAGAGATTCGGGTCCTAGCAGACAAGTTCCAATCGTTGGAATCCATCCCGAGGTGTGGATACGTGTAGAGGGCGAGGTAATCTTCCTCCCTAAGTGATCGGACGAATTCTTCAGTTGATACAGGCCCCAGATCGATTGAGGTAAGCGTTCTAACGTTTCTACAAATTCAATAGCAGCATGGTTCTAGGGTTCTATAAATTTTTGTTTTACTTCCGCTGCACAAACCCTAGAATCGATCTCTTAGGAATTAGATTCGCTCATGAGATCCCAGGAAAAACCAACAGAATTATTTTAGGTTAGATTTACATTCTACTTGACATATATTCTACCATATAAATCTATATATAATATAAACTCATGTACAACAGAAGAATACACATTGAATATAACAACATTTTTTTCATCTTAATCTGCTCATTCTCTCATTCAGATTCATTCGTCATTGAGCTCTCAATTTTTTTATGGTATCAGAGACCAATGGTCTCTTAACATCGAAAACCCAACCCCTTCTTCCAAGCTCTAGTATCAGACAATGGACAACATCAAGATAAAACTCATCCCTATAACTTTCAATGGAGATAATTTCTTCTATTAGAGCAAAGTTGCGAGAGATAATTTCTTCTATTAGAGCAAAGTTGCGAAACCCATCCTTAAGAGCCAATGGTTATAGGAATATGTAACCACAAGTTAAGGTGCTCCAGACACTACAAAAAAATCATCGATTTTCAAACGGATTTATATGTAGGAAAATTTTCAACGGATTTTCAACGGTTTTCAATGACGATTTCCATTAAAATTCCATTGAAATTTCCAACTGATATCCATTGGAAACTCCCGTTGAAAATTTTTAACGGAATGTTTAACGTATTCAATTGAAAAATTGGGTTGAAAATTTCCAACGACATTTCCAATGGATTTCCGTTGGAAATTTTCAACGGATGTCGATTAAAAAAATCGGTTGGAAATTTCCAACGAAATTCCAACAGATTTCGGTTGGAAAAAATCAGAAGTTTAATTTGGAGGAATTAGATGATTGCCAATTGAAACTCTAGAGTTAAGGAGGATTGATCTAGAGCAGTGAGAGGATGGCTGACCCATTAGGAAGTGAGTTCTGTTGGTTTAGTGCTCTATGATGTACTGTTTGCGAGCTTTACTTAGATACATTTGATGTATTGACACTTTCTATAGTTTATGAATGAGTGTTTGATTCATTATGTATTGTGCATGCTTTAATATGTTATGAAATCCATGTATTGTTATGAACAATACTAAACTCCATAGTCATGTATCATTATGGGAATAATGATATACTAAGACTAGTATGATGTGTGATTGATGATCATATAGATAATCATAGATATTGGATACGATCACAATCGTAGGTATTCGTTGGAGAACAGAATACTGGAATGACCCGCATGAGATTGTCACATGGACTAGCATTGTAATACCCCGAAACCCGATTTGAATATTTAATTATTAAAATGAATAATTAAATAGAGATATCACGAAATCATCAAAAGTGACGGTACAATATCGGGGAGAGGCACGAGGATCGTCACGTGCGGAAAGGACTGAGAAAGAATGAAGAAAAGAAAAAAGAAAAAAAAAAGAAGAAAAGAAAAAAAAACAGGGCTGGTCCGCCGGACTAGGAATGGTCCGCGGCGGACCAACCGCTCAGTCGGAGTGAGGACTGGACAGCGCGGACTGGGAAGAATTTCAAAAAAAAATAAACTGACCCCGGTCCGGCGGACCAGGAAGTTAGTCCGGCGGACCGGGAATGACAGATAACGCAACTTGCGCTGTTGCCACCTTGGGATGCGGAAT